TTATTTTAACACAATTAATTCTTGTACAGAAGGGCAGTAAAGAAAATCACTCAACACTGATCCCTTTTCTGCCACTCACAACTGTGTTCATCATGTCCCCACAGCCCCATGACCCCGCTCCTTGCCCAAAGGGTCCCACTCTACTCATTTGTTCCTTGCACAAAGGAACTTCTCACACTTCTGGCCATTCTGGTCACTACAAGCCACTTTCAGTTCTCCCCTATTTTATGACATGAATAGGAACTTGCATTGAAGAGCATGTGTTCAAACAAAAAATATCCATATATTTACATAGCAAGATAACATTTTATGTTTAGGTTTTTCCTAGCATAAATTTGGGGTTCAATCAAATAAGCACTGAGCAGATTTTCATAAATAGTTATAATCCTAAAAACTCAGACCTCAGTGAAAGTTGTCAGGTAATAGGGCACTATTTTATACATGAAGTTTAAAGAGGGTGTGGACTTTGCACCCAGGAAAGGCAGCAGTAATAAATGAAACCCTGGACAACAAAGTTTCCTACGTGGCTCCACTGTAATCCAGGAAGGGCTCTTATTCCACGGGTAACTAATGATACACAATGATCTGCCCAGTACCCAATGTCCAATTACTAATTTAAAGACAAAAAAACCCCAAAAAAACAGATGAAGTGATTGCAGGACAGAAATTCAGCATGACAAAGTCATCGCCAGGGTGTTCTTCCCTCCAGGGTACCACTGTCAAGAGAACACCATCAGCAGTGCTGGATAACTGTAACAGGTTAAAGCTAAAAGACTTGTTCCACACTACTTGTGGTTTACCAATTGAGCACAGACACTGGGTTTTTTTCTTTGCTTCCTTCAATTTCTCAAAATAATGAAGAAGAAGCCATTATTTGATAGCAATAACCTTCTTCCCTGGGTTCATGTCTTTATTAGATTGTGTTGTTGGTTCCTGCTGAAACAAGCCAAAAGGCACAAGGTCCCTGATTCAAAGTGACTGAAACTTTCCCATGCTCCTAATTGGAGACGTGTTGAGTTTCCCAACAGCAGTGATGCACCAAAACAAAATGTGATATTTAAGCAGCAATACTAAAATCTAACACAGTGTGTTTTAAGACATTCTGACCACTTGCAATAATTTCTAAAAAAAGATAAGCTTAAATTATTGAAGCTCCCAGAATCACATCATAGGAGGAGGCAACCAGGTTCATTAAAACAGAACACCTTATGATATACCAGATGTCCTGTGGGCTTATTTGTTTAAAGAACCCAAATATACATTATGTACTTGAAGAAATACTGATAATGAAACAAGTTTGGAACAAAAAGATCTAAGTAAGATAATTGAAACTCAGGGGAAAGGTCCCATCTTTAAAAAAAATGACACTAGTGAAGAATAAAAGCAGTTTTAAATATTGCATCATTTTTGTTTGTTGTTTAACTTTATACAACAATCAATGAAATATAAGAACAGTTTTAGGCGAATTTCTACCTCAGAATGAATGAATTTCTATTCAATTTGCTTCCAGCCTACCTAATACATAACATTCAACGTGACTCACAAATCAATTCAAATATTTACATTCCACCATTACAGCCTGGAGAGATAAACTCCATGCCTATATTTAAACAAGAGCAGGCTCCAGTTTCCACAAGCTGTCATACATGAGCAGCACCTTGGGGCTTGCAAGGGTTTCTTGGAACAGCAAGGGACTTCCTTTCCCACAGGAATCAGTGTTTGCCTGCATGAGTGTCTCTAAGCACCTGGGCTCTCTAAACCCCGAGTGCTGAGTGTGTACAGGCAGCTGCTGGATGCACGATGATCTGTACAGAGGTGCTGAATGCAACACTGGGAAGGAGAAGCCAATCACACCACTTGTACCCTACATCAATCTGTTCCCGCCCCCACCATTAGATTGCACTTTTGAATATTCTTCCTTGCTCTAAGCCAAAGACACATGGAATACAAGAACACAACAATAATGAGAATTTCATGCAAAATCTAATAAACCCACATTAAGTGCATGAAAAGCTTATAGAAAATGCATCTGAGTAAGAAATAATTCCAATAAGCACTCAGAAAAAGTGACATTAAGAACTCCAAGGCAAGAACCTGTAGAGCCAAAATGTGCTGAAGTGCTTTTACTGTAAGTGTGTGGCATCTCAGCTGTGCAGCACACAATTCCCAGGTGTGCTGGATTTCCTGGCTACAACACTCACTTCTAGTGTCTATTAGCTCCTGGAGAATGTATGCCTGGAAGCATCATTCTAGTCCACTCAATAAAACAAAACCCCCAAAACTGAGAGGGAAGAGAAAAAGGTTGGAATGACAGCAGCTGGATCTAATGTGTGGAGGAGCCAGCCCTGCTATCAGGGCTCACTCACAAACCAGAACAGTGAGGCAGCTCTGCAGAAATCAAAGGAGTAAGAGTTATCACTGAGTGTCCAGCACACAAATAAATTCTCTGTAAATTCTCTTCCCCCTGTTCCTGGAGAGGTTCCAGAGCCAAGAGGGAGGCTCACTTGGAGGGATGGAGACTCCTCACACGCAGCGATGCCTGGAGGATCCGGAACCCGGGTACGTTAGAGAGGCTGACTAAACTCACCGGTTCTTATCCTGCACTCCCTGCCCCAAGGACAGGAATGTGTGACTGTCACACGGTCCTGCACACCTCTGCAGCCCTGACAGCACCTCACAAATGGAGCTGGTGGCAAATGTCTGTTTTACAGGTGGCAAAATTATGACTAAGTGCCTTGACCAAACTCATCCCAAAAGGTCAGTGGCAGAAATGGGAGTACTGTCAAGGCCCTGTGTAGTGCATTATCCACCAGGCAAAGTATCACAGGGCTCTATAAATGAAATCCTGCTTGCCTGAAGGCTGTGTTCTAAATTGCTGCAGATGGTTGGAGGTGTTCTAAATTGCTACAGATTACAAATACATACCCACACCGAAAGGTGCATCCATTAAAGAAGTAAGGAAATACCAGATCACAGATCTAATCTCTGTGATCTCCAAGGGCTTAGGCTGAAAGTTCTTATTCAGCTGCTCCTGTGCTCCCACTGAAGATAAGCAGAAGCACAGGACAGTCTAACTACAGGCTGCCAGAGATTAAGATATAAATGCTACATTTGTTTAGAGTAACCAAGCAGAAATGTAAAAAACATCTCAAATAAAGCACTTCCACTTTTTTTTCAGTTCGCTACAACCTTTGGTTTCAAGGTTGAGTCCATCTGCTGCCTATAGAGTCCCTGGAGAGCAGGCCAAGTAAAGATGTACACAAATGGCAACTCAAGGCTTAAGCTGTTATCAAAATCTGCAGCACGAACACAACACATGCAGAAAGGCAGCTGTAAAGTTGTACCTGGGGTTTTTAAGTCAAAGCACGCTTTTCCAGCTTGAATAACCTGGTCTTAGTTTTAGTCTAGATACCAATCAGCTACATGAGCCCAGCTAATGACATTTATACACTGACAGATTATAAAATTAGCAGTTGAAATAAAGCTGTATCCGTGAAGCTGGGGGCAAAACTTGCATAAACAGAAGTAAGCTCTTCATGTTAGATTTCTTCTCACCACGAACGTGCTTCACCACGAACAGTCCAGGTATTAATCTGGAAATTCATCCTAAGCAGTGTAAAGATGACATAAACACTGATACGGTCTTGTATTTACAACACAAGGAAAGTACAGAGCCTTCTGTCAATATCAACACTCTAAGCTGCTTCAGCTCACACATCTCTTCAACATCACCAGAGGACTGGTGGACAGGACACTACATAAATTCAGGAAGCTGTTTTGGAAGAACTGTTGGAAGAAACTTTTCCCTCCATGGAGAACGATAGCATAGCTCATTGCATTAGAGGACATTTAACACTGTACTTGTCTCAGCAATGTGAGACCCGAGTGGTCAGTGCAGTGCACTGGATACCGACTCACACCGGCTGGACACTCATCCTGAGGGGCATCTCGAACCTCTGCACAAGAACTCTTTCTCTCTTCTGCACGGGCTATACTCGAGATCCAAACTATCCCTCCGCACTTTCACCAGCACGAAGTGGCCCCGCGGCCGTGCGTGGCGGGCAGAAGCAGCTCAGCGTTCCCTCAGAGCCTGCAGCCCTCCCTGCAGAGCCCGGGCGCGGCTGTACCCGGCTGTCCGCAGCGAACACGCCGTGCCAGGCGGGCCGGGTCCCAGGGGCTGCCGCGGCACGGCCCCTCCAGCCCCTCCTGGGGGACGAGCTCTCCCCACGCCGCCCTGGGGAACCCGCCCGGCTCCAGACACCGGGCTCCGCTCCCGCTCCCGTCCGCCGGGACAGCGGGGGTCCGGACTTGTTGCTGCCGCTGCCCCCGCCCGCAGCCGCCGTTCCCGGAGCGGCGGGGCTCCGGCACCCGCGGCCGCTCGGGGAGCGCCCGGCAGCGGCCCAAGGCTCCGCCCGCCCCGCGACCCCGCGTGTGCCACACGCCCGTTCCCCCGCCGCACCTGCCCGGCCGGCCCGCGGCACCTGCTGCCCCGCCGGCCCGCGGCACCTGCTGCCCGGCCGGCCCTCACCATTGTGGTTGACCCAGGTCGGCTTCAGCAGCTTCATTGTTCCCCGCCCGGGGCCCCCGCCGGCCTCCGCCCTCGGGACCCCAGGGCGGCTCCGCCCGGGCTGCCTCCGCGGCCGCGGCGCTCAGCGGCCGCCGGCCACCATGGGCCCGCGCCCGGCGCCGCAGTGCCCGCGCCCCCGGCCGGCCCGAGCCGCCTCAGCGCCGCTCCATGTCCCGGTGCCGCCGCCGCCCCACCGCATCCCCCGCCCGGCGCCGCCGGCGATCCGGCACCGCCGGAACTCGGCGCCTGGCAACCGCCTAACCGGCCCGGCGGGAAACAGCGCCCCCGACCCCGCCGTTCCCCTGCCAGGCGCCGCCCCCATACAGCGCGGGCCGGCGCCCCCTGCCGGGCAAAGCGAGGCGGTGCCGGCGGAGCGGGAGCTCGGAGCAGGGTGCCTGCCGGAACGTTTGTGCGCCGGAACGGGGGACGCGGGGTCGGAGCGCGGCCGGCGGGGGCGCGGCGCACGCGGGGCCATGTGGGCGGCGGCAGCGGTGGCGGCGCGGGGACTTCGCGGGGCCCGGCTCAGGTAGGGCTGGGGCCGCGCTCCGGGACTGGGCCTGCGGTCACCCTGCCCAGGACCGCGGGGAGGGAGCCCGGGAAGCGCCCCTTAGCCGTGGTGCCTGCCCAGCCCGCTCCCGCCCATTCCTCGGCCCGGGCTCCCGCGGCGGGCTGGGGCCCCCACCTGGAGAAGTCGGTGCCTTGGCACCTGGGCCGGTTCGTTCTCCCGCGACACCCGCCCAGATGCGACAGTCGGCATCGCTCTCCTAATCTGAACGGCAGTGGTCTGACCTCTCCCATATCACCTCCTCAAAAGGGTCATTATCAGAGCTTAAAAATAAAACTGCTATAGCCTATCCAAAAACTGTATCTTGTTTCACCCCTCGGTATCCTGTGGGCTTACACCGACCAGTCCATATTTGGGATCAGTTACCCAGCTGAAGAATTTGAGGCCATCTCTGAGCAAATGCTGTATCCTGCCATGAATGAAGTGGCCAAAGATGGTTCAAAACTCATCACTGTAGTATATGAATAACAAAGAGCTCTTGTGCAGAATCAGTGACACCAGAGACAGTTTCTCCTCATGCTTTATGTTACTTTTTCTCCTGCAGCTCCTGGCTGCCCCACAGCGTCCTGCTCCGAGGGAGTCACTGGCAGAGCTCATTGTTGGAGTTCAGGACATCCCTCCCTGTGAGGTGAGTGCAGCTTTCTTAGAGTTACACAGAAAAGAAATGTTCTCATCCACTGGGGGAACACAAATTTCCACAAGTCCAATTTTAACCTTTAACTGTACATGTTTAATTCTCTCTATGCCAAAGCAGTTAGGAACTGTTGGCCTCTTGCGGGGAGTTCAGAGGTGATACAATTATCACTTTGTACTTTTGGGTAGAACAACCACAGAATGCAGCTGGAAATGTTGGGATTTATGCAGTGCTCCAGAATTCCCTGCTGGGCAACACCAGTGAAAGCCTGGCTGAACCAGAAATTCTTTGTTGTGAAGGCAGAGGCAGCCCATGTGTATTTCTGTGCCACATTTCAGTGTCTGGTTTTGTTTTGATGCAGCTTGATTTAAAATACCCAGGTAGCTCTTAGGTACTGTTGGGGAGGGACTGTCTCACACCATAAATGTTGTTTGTTCAGTTTGCCAGGCAGGAATGAGGGTCAGTTTGTGTTTTTTGGGAGTGTGCAATGATATCTTGGATCTGCATAGAGAAGTAACATTTACAGCCTCAACTTGGCTCCAAAAGCAGAAATTTTAGAAGCATGTATAAAACCATTTGCAGTCTTCTTTAATGTGAAATGACAGGAATATTTGTTCAAGTTCAGGCTGGATGGGGCTTAGAGCAACCTGGTCTAGTGAAAGGTTTCTCTGCCCATGGCAGGGGGTTAGAACCACAGGAGGTTTAAGGTCCTTTCCAACACAAGCCACTTGTATGATAAACCTGCTATGCTGCACTCTGAGCCAGTTAAAACAATTCTAATTCAATTTTTGTGGAATTTCCTTAGGTTATTCTGATGTTCAGCACTAAATTGGTTTTCCCAGGTAGTTACAGTTCTCTCTGCAGAAAGTCTCAGCAGACATGTCACGTGCTCCTGGAAATTACTTTACTTGAATAAAGCTAATGGCTGGAACTTGTGTCAGGGACCAAATTAAGCAATGGAAAAGAAAGTAGAAGTTGCTGGTGTTGAATTAAAAGACAAAATACCTTCTTTCATTTACTATTTCCCTTGTAGAGCACAACCAAAGAAGAAAAAGAAGGTGGATGTGAAGAAAGAGCAAGCACAGAAGGAGCGTATGAAGAAAAAGCTTAAAAAGTTGGAAAAAGCTCCCCCAGAGCTAATTCCAATTGAGGATTTTATAACACCACTTAAGTACTCAGAGAGCAACAGGTCAGTAGGTCTGTCTTTCACTAAACACCTGTACTCACAGTGTATTTATTTCTCTGCACAACTGCAACATAGTGCCAGCCTTGGTACAAAACCTTACTCACTTCCATCAGGACAAAAATGTGGAAATATTATTTGTTCTTGCTAAAAATATTGAAATACAGTATATTTCCTGTTAGATTGACTGGAAGACCTACCTCACAGACTGACTAAATTATTAGTGAATTCAATGTGTTGTCTGGGTTTGGTGGGGTTTTTTTGCTTGGTGGTGAGATTTTTGGTTTTGGTATTTTGTTTTTCTGGGTTTGGTCTTTGGAGTCAGGCTATTTCTCTATTACAGTGTTACCCTTCTCTTCATCAGGGTGCGAAGTCTTCCCGCTCTTTCTCCTGAAGAGACTGAAAGAAGAGTTTTACTTTTGAAGAAGTGGTGTTTGTTTAAGCAGAAACAGGACGAGGCAGAAAAGAAAGCAATTAAGGCCCTTGTAGAATCTCAGCAAGAGGCACTGAAGGAACTGCGCCTGGAATCCGAGGAGCTGTACCAGGCAGCAGTGCGGAGGGACGAGCGGCTTTTCCCCTTCGAGAGGGACGGACCCACTTACACCCCTCCCCTTCCTGGCTATGATCCCCCCGAAGGGAAGTGCGTTGACATCACCAAGGTGTACACACAGTGACAGAGGAGCTCCTGCTTCAGCTGCCAGGAGGTGCTCAGACAACTGAAGGGAGAAAGATTGCAATAAGAATTAACAATTTTTCCTGCAGGTTACAACACTGCAGGATGTGACTGTAAAAAAATAAATGAAGTATTTCTGTGTTTTAATGACTATCCAGGTAATAACGCACCTAGCAAAACTACACTACCTTACATAGTGGCAAAGCCAATTTTTTTTATTTTCTTGTATTGCCATGTAACTGTTGTAGCTAAGTTTCTTTGGGTTTACCCTAATACAAACCAGATCTCTCTCTACATTTGTTTAGGCCTTTATTCTTTAGTAGTTCTGAATACTGCCACAACATACACCAGCACTTGAGAGCAATGAGAGCAGTCCCACAAAGGGGCAGTTTTCAGGGTATGTACAGCCCCCAGGTGAGAAGCTCTTAACCACCATAATTCTGATTCTGTGAACACAATTCTGATTCTGTGAAATGTCTTTTAAACGCCAGTGTTTGGGATTGTCCTGAGCTGGCAAGGCAGAGCCCCAGCTTGGTTTTTTTTCCCCATCTGGCAGGCCTAGGGTGGCTACCATGTTCCAAAAGTGCTCAATGCCAGCTGGTAAGGCAAGAGGCCCTCAGAGCTAGAGCATGGGTGCATTAATTTAGAAAGTGCCTGCTGAGATGAAATTCTGAAGTGTAGGACAGCAGTAAAAGACCACAAATTAAGTGCCTCAAATTTCCCTTTAAAAATACTCTGTGTTTAAATAAAATTTCAGTATTTTTGAGTGAGTGCTAAAGTATTTCAGGGCAGAGGTACAGTTGTATAACTTCAAGATGATGTGGAAGGAAAAAAAAAAGCCAGCAAAATTCTGAATTGTGTATTATGTTACTGACCAAACATAGCAAACAGTCTTGTTAATTTTATTTGTCATGGTCAAGTGGTAGATACCAGTCAGGTGGTGGGCTCTTCCTGAGCTTCCACACTGGAGCATATTTCTGTTTTTCCATAACTCGAGCTCTTTCACTCTTGCACAAAGCTTCCTGAAATACAGGAAAAATAATATTACCATAACAAGTGTTGGATGTTCCAGTCATACAGAGCTGATTTCCTGCTGTGAATATTTAAGATAAAAGAAGAAATAAAAATTTATCATGCTTAAGCAGAAGTGCTAAATGTTATCTAAGTAAGCCAAAATACAAGTTTTTAACTAAGTCATATTTATATTTTGCCTCTGGCTTCTAAGTTACGAAGGAAACTCCCACTGCTGTGGAACCCTCCCGGCCAGCAGCCGTCGTGGCTGGAGGGAGGGCGGAGTTACGCTGCAGGGCTCGTGTCCTCCAGTGTCGTTTCTAGACACCCCAGGAATGCCTTTTCCCTGTAACGCGGCGGCTTCTCCTATTAGGAAGGAAATATCAGAGTAACCGAAATCAAGAGCTTTTACAGCTGAAAACTGGAAATACTCCCTGGATCCTTCATTGGCTTTTAAGACAATCCTACCCAGCTCCGCTCCGAGCCGGCGCCTGCTTTTCCAAACCCTCCCAGCAGCCCCGGCCTACAGAGCTCCGGGCAGGCCAGGGCGAGGAGCGGGGCCGGTACCTGCGCGGCGGCGGCGCGGTCCCGCTCCCAGGCACGGCAGGCCTCGTAGTCCTCCCGCCAGCGGCCGCAATCCGGCAGCTCCCCGTGCGTGTAGTAGTGGTGGAAGGCGTAGAGCAGCCCGCGGCAATGCTTCCACTCGTCCCAGTAGTCCTCGCACGACCGCGGCGGCTGCGGACGGACACGGCCGGACTGAGCTGAGTGCCGCCACCCCCCCGGCCCCGGCCCCGGCGTCCCTCGGCCCCGCGCCGCTCACCCGCCAGGAGCCGCCCGTGCCCGCCATGCTCCGCCGCCGCCAATGGCCGCCGCGCTTACGGCGGCACGCGCGGGCGCAGCCAATGGCGAGAGGCGACACAAACAGACCCCGGGCCCGGCAGCCAATGGCTGAGCGGCGGCCGGCACGTGACCAACGCGGCCCTTGAGCCGCCGGGCGCTGCCGGAGGAGGCGCTGGGACGGGCGGCAGCCCCCGCCCTTCGGTCTGTCCTAAATCACCACACGGGACACGGCTGGGAACCAGCAACTTTTACTCGGGCTCTCAGGAGAGCGCAGGGTTGCACCCGGGTACGCTCGCCGGCAGACCAGAGGGCGCACAGGACACACTCGCACCGTTCCAAAGAGGCACCGGGGAATGCAGCTGGGTCTCTCCCTTCCCTACACGAGCCAAGAGATTGCTATACTACGTTACAGTATCTGAACTATTAAAAGGCATGTTATTAATTATAAATATAAAAAGCAATTACGGGGGGGGTGCTTAGAATGATTAATAACCCAACACCTGAAGCTAAGCTCAAAGAGACTCCCTGCACTAAAATCCTAAACACCAAAGTCACCCTTCATTTGCACCACACCAAAAAGCTGATCTGAAATTGTGGCAAAATATATTAAGGGAGGAAAATACCAAACACAGAGCAACATGAGATCATCATCATTCAGGAGATGAGGGGAGGATGTAGTCTAAGAACTGGACCCCTAGTAAGGTAGAGCTTGATAGTTTTGCTTCTCAGGTTTATCACAGATCTACGTTCCCCTCTTTAGAACACAAACGAAAAGCTTCTTCCAAATTCCCAGAACTTAATTCTCAACTGAAAATTAAGACAGTTTGACAGCTCCAGCTCTAAACATGAAACTGACACCAAAACACCTATTAAGTGTTCCTGTGTTGCAAAACGATCTCTCAACTGCAATTACTAAGATCCAAGATGCTGCAACTGTTATTTTATTTTCCCCCTAACTAGCTGAAGGTACCACAACTTAGGGCTTTCTTCCTTTTTTGCGCAGAGATTGGCCTTCCCCTGAAAAGGCAATAAACCGGCTTCCAGACTCATCCTGGAAAAAAGAAAGAGGAGAAAAAAGGTTTTACCTCTTTGTTCGCTGCTTGTGTGTGATGAAAGCTGAATGATTGTTAGCAAGAATACTCCATCAGAGCAGCCACTGACTGTAGACATTTCACATTCTTAATCTAGATAAAAATCACTTTTTTCCTGAAAATAAAATAGCACCATTTTGGTGACCTTTCAGCCAACTGGCTTAATAAACTGACACCAGGCCAATCTTTTTCCATCAGTAACAAGGATGTCAGAGGTTGCTTCATCTAAGTCAAACAATTCTAAACTACTACCACTTTCGAAAGGAAGCATGCTGTAAAAAAAATCAAGGGCAAAGACAGAGGGGCCACAAACTTGGATATTAGTTCTAATGTTCTAATTCTGCGCAAAAGTGGGGAGGATGCAACTTTATTTACCTCTTCCACTTTCTTGACCAGTGGACGTGAATTCCTAATGAATGTGATTCTACCAATCTTGAAGTCATAGTTGGGAATTCCTCTGGAAAAGAAGCATAAAAATATGATGAAGTAAGTTTTATACCTACCATTGAATTGAACACAGAGAGACCTATGCTGTGTCTGTCAGTGTAATACCAATATTGACTGCACATTTTCATTTCTAAATAATTCCAGAGCTAAACCACTCAATTATCTTCTGAAGGTAGGCATAGATTGCAGAAATAAATAATCAAATACTGGAGTTGTTGTGGGAGCTTGGCCACAGGCATGTTTCCACTAGCCTGCGGATAAGGAAGACTATCTATTTTCTAAAGGCAAACTCATTAAATTAGTTTATCTTGCAAGGAAAAAAGCTAAAACTCTGCTCAAACAGTGATTCTTCAGTTGCTGACAACTGAATGACACAGACATACCTCCGGATGTCTCCTGGTTTAATTGGTGAGGGACTGGGCTCCACACCTTTCTTCTTGCCATCCAATCTGTTCCCAGATCCAGAGAATGCCTGCAGATACATAACAAGTTTTAATTTAACTCCTGGCATTTGAAAGCAAACTGCACAAGAAAATTATATTCTGTAAAATCTTACACCAATTTTTATTTAATTCAGCATGCTTCTTTTTGGCACATATAAGCTGATGAATTGTGGGTGTAGGGCACACCCTGTTTCAGCCTTCCACCTGCCTTTTGCAGAGAGCAAGTCATGATGTTCCTGGCTGTGATCACACAAAACATTCAGGGCCACTTGCCAGTTAAATAACAAGCATCTCCAAGAACAGGTACTAATATTTTGCAGTTGTTCAGAACAACTTTCCCTCACCATTTTACAGCATTCAGAAACCAACAGAAATAGGGGACTTACACGAAATCCTATGTCACTCACATATCCACTGTGGTCTGTTTCCACATCCTGCAAAGGGAAAAACAATTAATTTTGTTCCTGTTCTGACATGCACATGACATGAAAACAGATCCAAGTACTTCTGACCAAACAAAACTTCGGAACAATCCCTTTCCCAAAACAACAGTTGGCAAACAACAGTCTCCTAAGTAACATATGCAAAGCGCCTGGTAAGTAAAATTTACCCCTAAGAACTTGTTTAAATAAAAAAATTTATGTTGACACTCACTGCTCCCCCTACAATCAATGCTGACTTCTAGGGAATGTATTTTGGAAGAACAAAAGCTTAACCTACTGTGTTCTCTTCATGTTGTGCACTTCTTTCTGGTTCTTTGTATCCCAAAGGAGCATCAAAATCCACCTATTTACACAAAAAGTATGAAAAAAACCTCATTATCAATTATATTTAAATTATATGCTTTATACTGCTATTCCTCAAAACTCCATCAACTATTATCACTACATTTGATCTAAAAAGAGCTAAGGTTTGCTTGTTAAACATTTTACCTCAAAGCTAAAAAGAGACCAAGCCTCCTAGGAACGAACCTTAGCATGTAATGGAAACAGAGAAGTAAAACAGCTCCACGGTATCACTGGAATATGAGCCAAGACAAGGCTAATAAATGAAACTCAGATAAAACATGCTGAAGTTCAACATTGAATTCTAGGCACTGCAGTCACCTGATGATACACAAAGTGCTAATCAGGAGCACAGATGGGGTTACAAAGGCACATGAGTGCTCCCAAGTGAGTCATCTTCCCTACTCCATGGATTGCACCTTTCTTGCAGCACCAGCCGGGCTGGGTGTGCAGAGCTGTCACTGCACAAGTGCCCTCTCCTCTTGGGAGGACACAGTTAGGGCAGGCCTTCCCCATCAGCTTTAACTTACGTTCATATCACACTCTATGATGGACACAGCCTTATCTGGTTTGGTCTCCATTACCCGAAGCTCGTAGATCTGAAACAGTCATAAATATTTTAAGATTGTGTAAGGAGAGCATATCTAAACCTTTCACTCCAGACAGCTTGAAGGAAACTGAAGTAAGTACCATTTAGGTTGAGAACTACATACTGCAAAGTCTCTACAGAACTTAAAAGCAAAAGCTTTTAACTTAAGCCAGAGAACTCATTACGGTGCCTTGATGCATTCTTACTGTACTTTAATCTGCATTTTCAGAAACAAATTCTGAGTTTAGGATAAATTCCTTTCCTTGACTTGTAAAACCTTCAACAGCACAAACATTTATTTTCTTATGAATCCAAAAAAGTTTAAACAGCACCTCACAAAAAGACTTAGCTGACTCCTTTTGCCCTCCAATAGAAAACCAACTGTGAAATCTACCAAGTGGGATTACTTGTCCAAAACACTGCACAGCTCTGGGTTGATTGTTTTGATACCAACATCCAATAACTGAACTTAGTCTATAACCCTCAACCCTAAACTGTACCTTTTCATTGTAGTTGATGGCAATAACATCCCCAGTAGTTAGACAGGCAAAGTTTCTCAATGCATTTTCCAGTCTTTGGAGTATGTTAAGACAAAATATTTGTTCTCAGCGAGACATCAAAGTCTTAAAGTTACCATACTGAAGATCTCTAATCCTTAGTTTCTCAAACATGGTTTAAAAGTCATCAGTACTGCAGATAGGAATTTAGTGAATATTAGGATATACAAGTTTTTCAAAGGGACACTCAAAACTTACTGGGTTTTAAGCCAACACTCCTCCTTCTTCAGACCACATTTTCTACCAACAGTTGACCACATCTCTGTACATGAGCTCTCCACCCTTTTTGTTTTCAGAAGGAGCAGCAGTGGCCCCATACTACTGGAAGTATATGAGACACACCTGAAAAGCTAATTCTGTTTGATCATTCCAATTTGGAAGAATATTTTTTCCCCTTATTCCATAATTGAATAGGAAGGATACACAGCTTTGGGATTGGTGATGTCAAGAAAATCTGGACTCTGTGGCTGAAATTTTGAGTAAGTAGCAACTTGCAGATTCACACTCTCCACTTGCACCAGGCCTCCTTCTTCCAGCAGCAAATTCTGCATCATCTGCAAGAGTGGAAACAAGCACACAAAGCCCTATCAATGTGTTTGATATTTTCAAATCTCTCTTCTGTGCATATAAATTCTTCTGTATATACAATTTCAGGAGGAACAGTTAGGTGCATGTTAAAAGCATTCTGCTTTGCTTAGTTAAACTTCTGTGGAGCTAAGCCTGAGCCAGAACTGAAGACTGCTGTAGAAACATGACCAGCAGAGACAGGCACTGTCAGGAAATGTTCCACCTCCTTAATATTAAACTTGGCAACTCGCTAATCCTACTTTTCAGGTTCTGACAGTCCAGCATGAGGCAACTCACCCAGTGTGGAAGGTAACAGATGCCCTCATCAGCCACAAACTCGAGCACTCCACAGTGCGTCATTCGGTCTGAGTTTTTGTTGGTCAGCTTGAACAGCATGGGGTAAGTAATATTAAGGCGGCCTGGTGAGAAAGGAGAAAAAATGTTTTCTTTCTTAAAAACCCCTACCACATTCCTGAAGCTTTCAGAGATCAAATATCACCAAGAGAATGGGCCAGACCATAAGAGAAGATTCCCCTCACACTATTATTCCAACTGCTCAAAACTACAGGGAAAGCAGGTACACAGTGTTGGAATCACACTCAGAAGTTTAAATGCTCAGCCCAACACTTCAGGTGTTTGTACTTGAAGGCAAACAAGCTCCATTAATTCTGACAGAAATACCTTCAAAACACATTTTTAAAACTGATTACTCTCACGGTGTCTATTAGAGGCTTAAATAAATAAGTAAAATACTGTGGTATTTGCCTACACATTTGCTCCTGTTTCTAATGTTGTTATTCCAGAATAAAGTATTCACTTACTGAGTTGATCCAAAGCCGATGGTGGCATAATTACTGCAGAAATGAATAAGAATGTAAAATTAGGAAAAGTACATCTGTACGAGAGTACATAACACACAATTTTATCCTTCCTTTCTCTAAAATCTCTTTTTAAAAAGGGCAGATTCTAAAATCTGCAAATTCATTTTTAGACAGAGAGTTCAGTAGAATCAGTCATGCCAAATATCCCTGCTCTGTGGAGATTTCAGAATTATACTCGTTGAAAAATGAAAGAGGAGACAAGGTTTTACAATACTACTACTACTACTACTAAAGAAAAATTTTCCCAAAACTGATATTGTTTGGGCTCACAGGTGCTCTTCAATCCATACCAACTCAAAACAACATAGCATTAGTCTGACAGCCTGAAAATTAAGTCGGCCCGTCTATTACTTTCTTTATACAAATTAAATGAAGTATAACACGGTGGGGGGACAAACTCCTTAATCATAAAATTCCATGACTCACACCAGATACAAGATTGTAACAAGAAACTTTCTAGAAGAAGTCTGTCTCCTTCTAATGTTCATAAACCCCGACTCACTTGGTAAACATTTTAAATTACCGAATAATGCAATGGAAGATGACCCCTCCTCCTTCCTCAAAGCCCCACCCAGGGTGCTCAGCACTCCGTCACCGTGTTTTCAACGTTCCGGCTGTCTTGGCCAAAAGCTGCATTACTTGACACTATTCAGAAAAACTCTTCCAACAGGTTATTAATCAAAATAAAACATGCACATACTCTTCCCGCCTTTCTCCACATCTGACCTGTCATTAGGTCCGGCAAGCATGGATACCGAGAAGCAGCGGTACTGGGTTGAAAAACGGTTCTGGAACACCCGGGGAATGGGGTGATCAAACATATTAAAAGAGAACTAGAGGGGAAAAAAACAACAGATAGAAAAGAAGGCAATCATCAGTATCTACAGCAAACAAAGTGTCACAGCACCCACTCAGGGCTCCTGAATTGTCGCCGCCGTGACGCGGCCCCTCCTCGCCCGCCCCCCGGCCTCACCATGGCGGCGGCGGCGGCGGGCGCTCCCTCAGGGCCGCCGGGCCGGGCCGGGCCGGGGCCGCTCGTTCGCCTCACGGGCTGTGCCGGATCCTCCCTCGGCCCCGCCCCTCCCAGCGTGCCGCGCGGAGCCGGCCTCTCGGGCGGCCATTGCGGCTGAGGGCGGAAGACAGGCCCTCGCGCCCTCCGAGGCGGCCATCGCCGGGAGCCCCGTCTTCCCGTTCGGCTTCTCTTCGGTCGCAGGGTGTTGATGCTGCCCTGATGCCCCTTCGCCGGGCTCGTTTCATAGAAAAGTAAACAACTTGCCCGTAGCAAAGATGGCAGATGCGGGGACAAGACCCGGCAGGATGCTTCCGGCCGATGCCCTCTCGGGATTGGCCAGCAGCGCGTATCGTCACCTCCTTCTCCCCATCCCATTGGCGAAGCCCCGGAAGGGATCGGACAGCTCGCGCTGCAGAGGTGGAGCGAGCGCGTTCCTATTGGCCAGCGCTCCGTGAGGCGCGGACCAATGGGACACGGCGCGGCTTTGGCGCCCAGTTTGAGCGGGCGCCGCCTGCGGCTGCCGCCCGTTCCCGCCGCGCGCCCGTTCCCGCCATGTTCGTCTCCGACTGCCGCCGGGAGTTCTACGACCTGATCGTCACCCAGGTGCGGGCAGCGGGCCGTGACCGGCGGCGGGGTGGCCTCCCCTAGGGCTGTCTCCTCTCATAGCTCTCCCCTCTCTGGGCTGCCGCGGTTCCCGCCGCCTCACAGCGCAGGGCGGGTGCGGGGCGTCCCCGGCTCTGCTGGCGGTGCCTGAGGGGCTCCGGTGCTCTGGGGCGGTGCTGGCCCCGCTCCGGGGGCTGCGGGGCGGAGGTCGGTGCGGGGAGCACCGGGCAGGCGGCCGCGCCGAGGGCGGCGGGTCCGGCAGTCACCCAGGTTGTAAAAATCCCTTTCCCGGGTATTTTTCCCCTTCCCTACCCGCGGGAACCCGGGACAAAGCGGCACCAGCGCGGTGAGATTTCGCCAGGGATTTCGGTTCCTTCCGCAGAGGTGTTTTTGTGAGTTCTGTATCTCACACTTAACCACGACATTTCTGAACTGTTTTTAAAAGTATCCTTCTAGCCGTTTTGGTGTTATTTGCCCGGACACTAAATACTGTATTCTGTCATCTTTAATGTTTTTCTTGTAGCACATCTGTCTGCTACTTTTGTTTTTAACCCAGGCTTTGCTTAGCTCCATTCGCCGTCGTTGTGTACTGTAAGGTGGTGAGGATTTTGTTGGACAGTCTTTTGGCATTTCTGCAAATGAAGTTATATTATGGACTGTGCAAATGGAAGTTTTTATCTTAATTTCTTCAGCTGTGAGCAAAATCTCAAAACCTTCTTCCCTCAAGACCAAAAACACTCTCACAAATCAACCAACCCCTCCCTCTGCGCACTCCCCCCCCCCAAAAAAAAACCCAAACCCAGCCAACCTTGATTCAGGTGAAAGAATTTTTTCCTGAGTTGCTTTGCTCTTTCTTGCTTTTGCTGCGGATTTTCTTTAGTCAAAGCTGCTGAAGATAGGTGCTGAAAACAAAGGACGTTCTAAACACAATGAAAACAGTTGTAGGTCTTGACGAGGTGTGACACTTCCAAAGTATGTGAGGTTCAGAGGAGTAGATGCGTCTGAGTAATTACATGTCCCTAAAGGGACATGACGTCCTTTTGGTGTGTGGAGTTGCTTATTCTTAATATTGACAGATATCCAAACTGGTTAATTTTGGCTGCAGTGTCGATTCAGAAGCAATCCTGTTTTATGCTTATTATGATTTCTATCTGAATTTCTGGTCTCTCAGTGTTCTATGCATTTCATGTACCAGCACACTCTATTTGGTGCCTATATTAATGCTATTATTTTGTTATTTTTACAGCGAGTTCTTCTTCTTGTTGCTTCAGATGTTGATGCATTATGTGCTTGTAAAATACTCCAAGTAAGTCTTGGTTCATTATCAGGCTGACAGTATGAGAAAATATGAGTATGAGAAAATATGTATGCCCTGGGATCCTATAGCTGGGTGTGAACTGGGGAAAGGGGGAAGGTTTAATCTGCTTTTGTAACGTTTGTTTCCGTGAGTTATGGCACTGAAAACTGATGAGTCATAGTCTCAGAATTCATCTAGATTTGTCATTTGGGATGTCTTTATTTTAAGGATTTGTATGTAATAGAATCATAAGCTGGTGTATCATTGCAGGAGAGGCTGTTTCCCCTCCCCTTTGCTAACAGCTGTTGCTTCCTTGCAGGCTTTGTTTCAATGTGACCACGTGCAATACACACTCGTGCCAGTGGCTGGGTGGCAAGAACTTGAAACTGCCTTTCTGGAGCATAAAGATCAGGTGAAAAAATAATGGAAAATTTTTAAGCTGCAACTCATCTTTTTTAAAGATAAACTTCTTCCCTTCCCCAATTTACAAAGGTCAACGCTTAAGCTCATTATCATTAGTGATTACTTCAAAACTGTGCTTACATTTTAACATACCAGCAATAAACTTGTCAAGTTTTTAACATCACCTCCAACAAATGTGCTATAATGTTGATAGAGTCAAATGAAGTTTGCACACATTTTGAGATCTAAAGGTGCTGCTATTGGATGTCCAATATCCCTGAATTGTGTGTTTTGCCTTAAAATAAAAATTTCTGCCTCAGAGGCATCAAATATCAAAGTAAACACAAGTTTTGGCAGTGATGAATGCTTTGGAGGTTTTGTAGGCATGTTTTCAGTTTTCTGTGTTCCCTGGCAATTTAAGTAACAAGCTTCTTTTTTTTCTGCTTTTGTTTGCAGTTCAAATACTTTGTTCTTATTAATTGTGGTGCCAATGTTGACCTCCTGGAAATCTTGCAGCCTGAAGAAGACACTTTTTTTTTTGTGTGTGACAGTCACAGACCGATCAATGTAGTGAATGTTTACAATGACACACAGGTAAAAGCTTTTCTTTCATAATAAACACCTCCCCACAGTGTGGTGGTGAGCAGTGTAGTGCTTTTCAGTATTTGCAAAATGTTAGAACATTAGATTGTAGGTCAGAAAGCAACATTAATAAATAAATATTTGCAGTAGTAATGTACATGACCAGAAAAAAATCCTTTTTCCAGTAGTAAAATCTGTTAATGTTAGCAATGTGGTAGTTGTCAGTAGTTAGCACCTGTTAATCTTGTTGCTATAAATCAAACTGCCATAAATCAGAGGATAAACATCCTCCAGAATGTAACACGTATTATCTCTCAGCATTTAGCAGCACCTAGAATTTAAAATATTAAGCATAAATTATTTTATTTGAACAAGCATTAATATGATAATTCTTTCAGTAATGCCCTAACAAAGGAATATGGATTTTCACTCTTATTTTCTATAAATCAGTATAGTATTTGTATTAAAAACAAATGCTTTGTTATGCCAGGAATTAATACAGCCTAAATTAATTTATAGTTTCTTTTACTAAGTAAGAGTGCATTTTGTTCACTAAATAAGACACTCTAAAACACAATTTTCTTCTTGCTAGATTAAACTGTTAGTCAAGCAAGATGATGATCTCGATGTTCCTGCTTATGATGACATCTTCAGAGATGAGGAGGATGAAGAGGAGGACTCGGAGGATGAAAGGGAAGGCTCTGAGCCCTTAGAGAAGCGCAGACGTTTTGAAGAGGTTTGTTCCACTGCTGTGTTGTGAAAGGAAGAAAAACAACGCTGCTATTACATGTATTTTGCATCATAATAATATTTGAGTTTTCAATTTTGTTCCATTAGATCAGAAATCCAAGTGTGAGATTTAAAAGTACTATGACAGGTAGTTTCACATAAACAAAATATTTATTTTTCTGAACTACACAGAAATATTTTCTCCAAATTAAAAAAAAACCTATTTTGAACTTAAGCATAATTCTTTGTATAATCAGTAAACTGGAGAGATCTGTCCCCTGATATTGCTATGGGCTTGGTAGTCTAGCAATAGAACTTGTTTAGATATTAACTCCTTTTACAAAAAAAGTGTTTGAGAAGATGCAAGCTCACAAATAGTTTAGCAATGCATTTTGTCTGTGCTTGTAGCAGTAAAATAACAAATATATCAAGTGTACATGTGAAATTAAATTTGCTCTGTTACTTGTAGCATATTTTTAATTTTTATTATAGAAGCAAGCAAAGGCCTGAGACCAGCAACATTAAGAAACAACTAAATATAAAGACATCCTTAGATTTGATATATGTTTCATGTTATCTTTGTTATCTTCCCATTAGCATTGTACATTTTTTCCTAGTAATATAAAAGGGTACTATCTTAGCCAAAGAAGCTACCCAATTCAGAGGAAAATGACAAATACAGAAGCTTTTCTCAGATCTGTTAAATATTTCACAAAGATGTTATGTGTGTTCAGAGGAAAGATTTTTGATAATACTTTTCTCATTAGATGTTAATGGCAATATTTTAATTTTAAAAAATTGAAATTAATATTTTAATTACATTTTTTGAATTAAGGTTTCATAATTGAGATATCTAGATGGTAATCTATTAGATTTTTTTTTCTAGCTTTTTAACATCCTGGAAATTATTTTACAGGAGGTAATAGAGAGGACAATGAAAAGGAGACAGAGGCGGGAATGGGAAGCACGCAGGTGTGTAAATTGATTTTTCTTCTGTTGCTTCTATCTTTTTCTTTCATTCTTTGATTAAAATTGTGTTAAGAATACAAACAAGATACCAAGCTGTGATTTGCAAGGTGCTTTGGTTATAATTTTGTTTAGAAAGTTGAGAGAGATATTTAGTATATAAAAATGTTTAAATTGATGAAATTGTAAATAGTAATTTAAAATTTTAGTACCAATAGGTGCATTGGCTCACTTGAAAGTAGCTGTAATATTCTTATCTTGTCTATCTCGGGGTGAAATTTGTCCTGTTTTCTACTTTTACAATCCCACTGTAGTCAATAGGAGTGGGCAGAAACAAATCAGATAAAGTGGGATTTGAGGAAGAGTGATGTAAAAAATATTTTCTTTTAGCTTTATGAGTACACTTCCAGTGTGGTTTCCATGTTGTTACTAAAGTCTAATTGCCTTGCAGATAAACCATTTCTAGCCCAAGCTTAATATTTTTAATTGTTAAAATAAAAATTAAATATTAATCACCATTTCTGGCTTTAGTTTTTAATTGGTTCCAATGTCAAATGTGGGTTTTTTTCTTCGTTTTAGACGAGAAATTCTTTTTGATTATGAACAGTATGAATACCATGGGACCTCAGTAAGTACAAACTCTGTTTGCCATAAAACTCAAGGTGAAAATGTAAAGGTAATTCGAAAATATCCAGTGTTAAAATTTTCTATTACAATTATATAATGATCTAATAATATTATTAAATATAATAATATTATTGCATCTTGCTATTTTTGTATCTTATTGTTATATATATAAACTGCATCATATTTATACAAGTTGTTTAACTTAGTTGAATGCTTTAAGGCTCTTTTTTAGATCTTTGCAAGGGTATCTATCTGTTTACAAAATACTGTCACAAAAAGACTAGAGCATGTAGGGAGTTTGTTTGCCTTTCAAAGTGTCAGGATATCCCAAACATAGCACTTGGGACATCAAACTGTTCTTTCTGTCATTTGACCTCTCAGATTATTTATATTTTATTAAGTGTTTGCTTTGTATGTAATGCTGGTTTACAGAGCTCTCTAGAATATTTTTCTTTCTACTTAGTATTTTAGGAAGAGGCTGGCAGATTATCAGACTCCAGGGTGATTTCTAGGGCTTTAGTAACATGTGCTGGTACTTGGCAGATTTAACTGTTCTATTTGTTTAGTGAACTGTGCCTTGTGTTCATTTTTCTTTTTGCTTCTCCCTCTTGTAGTCTGCAATGGTGATGTTTGATCTGGCATGGATAATGTCTAAGGACTTGAATGATATGTTGTGGTAGGTTTCCATCATCATTTTTTGTAGAGATTGGAAGCTTAAACCTTTCACAAAGACAGGAAAGATTTCCCAAAATTATTTTATTTTACTAGGAGTTGCCAGTTTCTTTTGGGAATGGGTGTTTGTCTTCAACTAGAGGATGCATCTGTGTTAATTAATTAAAAGCAGCAACAGATTTTGCATGGGAAAAGGGAGGGTGGTATTATATGTGTATGTCTTCAAATGAGGGAATAATAGTAGATGACTTTATTATTTACTTCTCTGTACTGCTGATAAACAATGTTTCTGATTTGTTCTCTTACATACTTAGAGGCTTAAATATAATATATTCTGTTGGAATAATCGTTGGTTTAACTTTTTTTCGATTTCTTTTTTTCCAAAAAAATTTTAGGTGGGCTATTGTTGGCCTAACAGATCAATGGGTCCAAGATAAAATCACTCAGTAAGAAAGTTTGTTTTTTTAAATTTATCTTTTTTTATTATTATTCATTCTTATTATTTTTTCTATCTTTAAAAATTTTTATTTTGGGAGTAACTAGCAGTAATTAGTATAGATTAGGAAATATAAGCATGTTATTATAACAGATATAAGTAATTAACAGTGATATTAAATATATTAATGCCTAAATGTCATCTGTTGCCTTCCAAAATAGGAATATATATATATATCATATATATCTTTAAAACTTTTTTTTTTATTATTATTTAGAATTTTTAAGCTAACTTTGTTTTTCACAAAATTATAAATTAATCACTTCTGATCTGGGAGGAAATAGTGTTTAATGGTAGTTTACTTAAGCATGAACTTCATACAGTTTTATTAAAGGAAGAAACTTGTGTATGTTCTGTATCTTCCAGGTTCCTTTACTGTTTTAGTTAACAACTTTCAGATATTTTCTCCTCTTTTTCGTTATTTCCAACTAGATATGATCAGAATTCTAGCATTACGTATGTTGATTCTAATTCTGGTGTTATATTTTTACTAATACATGAATATTTAAAAATAGATAAAATAGATAACATATAATGGATACAATAGATAAAAGAGATAAATAGATAAAGAGATAAATGTAATATTAAATATAATAATATTAAATATAATGATATTAAATATAATAATAGTAATAAATACTATAATAATAGTAATAAATGTAGCTGATTTCATTGGTCAGTCTATTGTTTTCTCTTTTGATTTATTTTGTTTTAATTGCCTGGGCGAAAAGATGAATATTGAAAAAACATTATTTAACGAATTGAGGGGGTTTGAAAATGTATCTCCAGTTTTCATGCTGCTGACTTTAGGAAGCATTTTTATTTCCTTGTAATCGAAACCAGAATTTCCCAGGCAGAAAGTGAAGTGACCGGGTTGTTTTTGGTGCAGGATGAAGTACGTGACCGACATTGGAATCCTGCAGCGCCACGTGTCTCGCCACAACCACCGCAACGAGGATGAAGAGAATTCTCTGTCTATTGACTGCATGAGAATTGCATTTGAGTATGAGTATCCTTACAAAAGGTCTGGGGAAAATGCACACTTAGCCCTCTGGTGAACCCCTCTGTGGTTTTTATCTAGGGGAAAAAAAAAAATCCCAGCACCATCTCTGCTGAGAATGGAAATAAATTAAAGGGAAATCCAAATGTTTTGTTGTGCACGAATCCCTCTTTCAGCAGCTCATGGGACCTCAGTTCAGCTTAACCTTTCAGAAGTGGTTACAGGTCAGCATTGCTACTCTTGTGTTACATCCCCTGACATTCTCACTGCATGCATTATGTAAGGGCAGCTGAATCCTTTCCTACTTGTGGAGTTTATAGGGTCAGAGGATATTTGTGTTTGCAATTATTTGCCCTAACTCCTGCTCAGCCTGCGCCTGGCACTGTACCAGCACTGGTCTCTCTATGAAAGTCTCTGTAACACCTCCTACACCTCTGCCAGCCTCAAGCTTTGGTCTGTGCAAGGGCAGAAGAGGCTCCAGGAGTTTTTGGCTGACATGGGGTGAGTTATAAAAATCGATCATTTTTTCAATGACTTACAGGAAAATATTCAGAATATAGCTTTCAAGTACTCAAGCTGTTGGTTTTTAAATATGGTTGTGGGGCTCTGAATAGGTGGCACTGTCCCTGAGTTACACAACTTGTGTATTGGTTTACAAGGAGCACTTGCTGTATGCCTTTATGGAATGGCAGCTCAGTAAAGTAACCTCTGCTTCCTTGCATCCATTTTTCAATGACTGAAAAAAATAATGCATATAAATTTAGTCAGACTTAACCTTGTTAAATTATCTAATTATTTTAAAAGTCCTATGAGAAAAAGGCAAAATACTTGTTTCTTCTGGCATACCTGTCAATGAATTTTTTTCTTTCTCTTCTTAGTTTGCCCTTGAAGCAAGTGAAACAGAAGTTTAGTTCCATGGATGTGTCTTTGAAAGAAAATCTTAGGGAGATGATTGAAGAATCTGCAAACAAATTTGGGTAAATTCTTTTAAATACAAAGATTTTATCTGAAAATACTTTTCAATTAAGATCAAATATTTTTGTATGAAGAAGATCTAATATGTTGTTTTTAAAAATATGATTCTTAGATTGACAAAGTAGCACTAGATTTGTTGCAAATGTTAGGATAAGGTTTATTCTTCATGTTCTTAAGATGAACATACTGGGGAGACAGCTGGTCAGTGTTGATAATTTTAATAAACTTTTCTGGCTTTATTTCATTTTGCAGAATGAAAGATTTACGAGTTCAGACTTTCAGCATTCACTTTGGCTTTAAGAACAAGTTCTCAGCAAGTGACATAGTTTATGCAACAACTTCTCTCATGGAGAACATAGAGAAAGAGGGGCCTGAAACAACTAATTTCATTAAGGCTTTGGACAGTCTCTCCAGGTACTGAAAATATGGCTCTTCAGTATTTTGCAATTTTATTTAGGGAAATTTATTGGGATTATGGATTTAAAATATTGTTGCTTCATAAGCTATTGAAGAAAAAAACAAAATATCTCTGTGAAGAGTGTTTAGATATAATTTTTATGTGGAAAATTTGATTTTACTAAGAAAGTGTGTATTTTTATTCTTTTTGTTGCAGGAGTAACCTGGACAAGCTGCACCAAGGCCTGGATTTAGCCAAAAAGCAGTTACGTGCCATTCAGCAGACAGTGGCCAGCTGTATTTGCACCAACCTTGTCATCTCTCAGGGGCCATTTCTCTATTGCTCCCTCATGGAGGTCAGAATTGTGTCTGTGTTCTCATTTGACTCTCCTTTTTGACTGTATCATTCTTGAATAGCAGTTTTAAGTGCTTGGCACAGCAAGAATTACTCTGTAAGAAAGAGCCTATTTCTGCTATTTCTGTTCTGTGCTGTCCTCTGATGGGTCAGTGCTGACATTGCTCTGGGCTCCCCAAAGGCAGAATCAGCCCTCACAAAGGGCAGAGGGCTTCACTGCAAAGCTGGCTGAGCTCAACCTCCTGTATTGTAATGGTTCTTTGAGCCACACAGAGCTTCTAGGCTTGTCAGTAGATAATAAAACTAAGTAAGTACAAGAATCATCCTGGGTTGTAATTGAAATAATTCTTCTTTTCCTAGGGCACACCAGATGTGAAACTGTTTTCCAAACCAGTGTCTCTATGTCTGCTTAGTAAATACTTACTGAAATCATTCGTTTGCTCTGTAAGTAACTTAAAAGCATTTGACTCAAACGTCTGGCTGGTGTAGTACTTATTGTTCTGTCAGATACTTACAGCTGATTATTAAAAGCATTATAGGAAGCTATTAATAATGTTTTTCTGCTGATTGATTGGATGATTTTAGCATATTTGTGAATGCTGCTCTAGGGAAGATACCTATTTGGACACTTCATAGCGTTGAATTTTTGTTACTAAGATAATTACAATCTAAACATTTGTGTAAGTTTTGGGGAAGTACATCACTGAAATTTCTATTAGTCCTTGAAGTGACTTTTACTGTAAAGAACAAGTGGATTAAGAGATCCTGTAAAGAAACCACCTTCTGTTGAACTGTAGAATATCTGTATCCTTATTTGTAATGCTATCTCACATGCAGAACTGATATTAAATTGCTTTCTGAGCTTTGTGTAACAGAGGCTTTCTGACTTCCAGACCAAAAACAAGCGTTGCAAGCTGCTGCCCCTGGTCATGGCTGCACCCATGGATGTTGAACAGGGAACTGTGATCATGGTGGGGATTCCTCCAGAGACAGAAAGCTCGGACAAAAAGAAGTAAGCAAAGCGTTTACAAGTTCTAAACTTGTCTCTGAAGCAAATATATCTTTCCTGGACCCATCTAACACTGAATTTGTTGACTTCAATTGTATCCTTCTCAAAAACACCCCTTCTGCATACAGTGTGCATGGGGTACTTTGAGAAAGAATACAGACCTTCCTTGCAAGGTTTTTTCTTTTCCTTCCCTCTTAAGAGAGAGAAATAATTCACTATATGGCCCATGATTTCATTTCTAAAAGCCTCCAATGTAAAGATTTTTACACACGAATAAGTGAGGTGTGTGTTGAATACACAGCACCTGTAAAAACATCTGGAAGCCATTTCCACCTCTCAGCTAGGAAAAAGCTCCTTGCTTCTACCTTGGTAAACATCCTTTCCTGTGACTCTCATTGGTAATTCTGCTCCTTCCTCAGCTTTTTTGGACGAGCCTTCGAGAAGGCTGCGGAGAGCACCAACTCGCGGACGCTGCACAACCACTTCGAGATGTCGAGTGAGTGCCGGGGCCCGCAGGGGGCGGTGCTGGCGCGGCTCTGGGCTGAGAACGGAGCCTGGCAGGGCTCGGTCCGGGCTCAGGGCGCTGCTCCCGGGGCAGAAAGCACCAACCAGCCCGCTGGGCTTTTTGGGACACTCTGCGTTTTGCACGCACTGGCGGTTTGCACATGTGCACTTCACTTTACAGTCCGTGATGTCGTGTGGGAGGGCTCTAAACTTAGCAGCCAAACCAAGCGTGGTATTGATGAGACACTATTTATTTATATATGCTGAACATACAAAGAAATATTCTTAGACTTAAGAAGTGCCTGCTCTATAGTGTAGTGAAGACCTAGAAATTCGCTAAGATTTAACCACAAAATAAACCATGTCCTTTGCATTTTGTCCAAATAGCTTCTCCTTCTTAAAGTTGAGTAAGAATATAAATTGGTGTACTCAGGCTTATTGTTCTTCAAGTGTGACATCTAGTATATCTTTCAGTTATTTGCATCCTGTAATAAAATATTTCATATTTTAGTAATTGAATTGAAAACAGAAGATCGGAGTAAATTTCTGGATGCACTCATTTCTCTCTTGTCCTAAAGGTAAGACGCTCTAAGAATTAATTTAAAATTATTACAAATCGAGTAACCTGCTATTATCTGTAGAATATTTTTTACAAATGTGGCAACTTTTAGTGAAAATATAAATTGAAGTAAGAGTTTCTTACAAAGATAATTATTTTCCTTTGGAGGAGGAGGCAGATAATGTGCAAGCAACTTGTCTTCCTCCTTAAGAGGTTTAAGTTTCATCATCCATGAGCTTCTCTGTCATTGTTCCTAACGTTTTGTGGCTTTTAAAATTAGGGTGGAAAAGGAGCATCTTTTTGTGTTGTGAGAGAAATGGCAATATTAGCTAATTCTAGTTGATCCTCTGTTGCTGACATTTAATTCTGATGGCTTGTTTGAGCTCAAGATGGAATTTTGGCCACAGCAGTGCCACTGGTTTTGATGTTAATGCAGAATTTGCGTTTTTCTTTCCAGTGTTAGGGTTGTAGCCTAGGTTGGTTTGTACCTGGAACAAAAATGGGGTTAAAATATCATATTTTTAGTTGTGAAGTAGCTACACACCCGTTCAAAGCTGATTGTTAGACAGCAGAGGCATGCATGGCTGACAGGATTTCTACATCCATTTGTTTCTTTCTTTACACTTTGACTACTGATTGTTTTGTCTTCTGCTCTTGTTATGCAGTGGTGCCTTTTGGCTCTTTGTGCTGGAAGCTGAGGATGAGACCCTCTGAAATTATTTTGGATGTTCCAAAGTTCATGGTGCTGAAGTTTTGGTGTATCTTAGGTCCACAGGCCTGGACTGGTGTTTTTATGCCTTTTGGGAGGTTAAAAAGATTTTGATCTCGGCACAGAGATATTGAACACTTCTTTTTCTAAACATCCCACCCTGGTAAATGGCAAAAGCTGTCACCTGGTATTTGTACATTGGATTTCTATTTATCAAATCTGCTTTTATTAGTAGACCTACTCTTGTGTGATGTTCAGTTGTTGACTGATAAAAAAAATAGGTTTTGAAGTTCCATATTTATATTTCTGTTCAATTGTACTTTTAAAATTGTCTTGAATGCTTTTTATTTTTTTAAAGAAACTATTTGAAATACTCCTTGAAGCTCTAGAATGTTGAAAATGTTTTTTAGTATACTAAATTGAAGTCTTGTAGCTTAATTGAAAGACTTGTTTTGTGAGAGGAGTTTTAAGATTTTAGGGTTTTTAAAATCCAAATGCTGAGTAACTGCCAAATACCAAATGAAGAATCCAGGGAATGCCAGTGTCAAAGCCTTTTTAGTCATGCATTGTGATACTGTATTGTCACTTGTAGCTTGACTCTGGGAATAATTTTCCTGGAAAGAGGCTGAAATACTATGATAATTCTGTGTAGACTGTAGCACTATAAATATTGACAGAGTAGCTTATCCTGTTCCATAGCAGATTTCCTTTTACTTTGGTCATATGAAATGGCTCAGTACCCTGCAGAGCACTGGTGCCTGTGTATATGTGTACATGTGGAATGCTCTTCTACTTCAAGTGTTTGCTTGAATTCACTGTGACTTCAATGTTTCCATGTATTATAATGAGGTTATGTGTAATTACATCATTCTTTGTACATATTTTAATACAGATTAATTTAATATTAAATGTCGTTTAAATGTAGCCAACAGAAACCTAATTAAACTATCTATTTTTATTCCAAAAAAAGTTGGTTTGGGTTTTTTAAAAATTTTTTATATGTTGTCACCTTATCTGAATAAAATCTCTGTGCCAAGCTGGGATGGCCGAAAAATTGTGCTTCCTAAGATAAAGCAATGCTGCCTTTTGGTTTTTGCATTGAAACTGCAGTAACTTCCAATGTGTTTGCTTGCTCTCATAGCAGCCTCCTAATCAGTTCTTTAAATATTTCTGCTGCTGCTAATCTGAGAACAATAGCAGTATGAAACAAATCCTTTAAAATGTTTTAGTTTTTCTTAACAAAATAAAATTATGAAAATCCTTAAATACCAAAGTACTGAAGCAGCTGAACAAGCTGATTTATGCCATTCCTGCTCAGTGATTCATGGCTCTGTTCTTTATGGGGTGATAAATTTAAACAGAATTGAAATTGCACAGTAAGGAGTAAGGACCTGATTTGATTGGAATTGAAGTGAATCCCCTTCCACGAAAGAATTGTGGTGACCTAATAGATTTGTACTTACCAATGTCAAGATTGTATAGTGGGTAAGAATTAATTCATACCTCTTTTCCTATTCCTCTTCAGGGAAAAAAAAAATAAGGAATGTTCCAGCTTCCTTGTATGGCAGAGCTACATGGTCTGTGCCAGTTTGAGTGTGGCAGTAACAGCCACAGGGGGAGGCCAGTGGGCTTTGGTCAGTTCTTGGCCTCTCTAATGTCAGAAGCAGGTGCTAGGGAAGGGTAGAGAAACAAAGCAGTTCCATTTGATGCTTCCTTCCAGACACAAACAAATGCTGTCCCAGTCCCTGTGCTCAAGGCCACCCTGAGCCAGGTGTGGTTTCTGTGGGTTTGGTCACTGTCAGTGCTTATCTGGGAATCTGGATTCACTTCCTCCCAGATCCTTGCAAAATTCTAACCTGTGCAGTGTTTTGTGGTGAGTAGATCTGCAGCCTAGCTAGATATTGTATGAAAAACTGCAACCCTATGGAACAGTGGAATAGTGCTGATTGCTCTTATTAATGGAAGTTAAAATCACTACAATGATTTCAAAGAAAATTATTTTGCAAATATTCATTGTTTGTACTTGCTGTTGTAAAACCTTTTATAATAAAGGACAGAAAATATTCCTGGGTTGAATATTGGGAGATATCAGGAGTATAGATGTTTATTATCAGACTGTCTTTCATGCTTTGGTACTTCGATGAAGATACAGTTGATACTACAACAACAGGACCTCTAGTTCATGAGCCATATCAAATTTAGCTACAGTATCTGCTATTTCTTCCCACTATTCCCTGTGACTACTGTCTTAGAGCCTACTGCTCTGCTTTTATGGCAGAAGCAATAAATCAGGGGTATTTCAGAATCTGATGGTTTTAGCTGCTCTATCAGCAGTTTGAGTTTATATTAATAGGTAGCAATCACTTGTAAACCTGACAGGATCTGAGAGAGCCATTGCAGTCTTAAAATGGTGAATGGTTTGCAGGAGAGTTGTTTGATTGTTTACTTAAATCCTATGAGATTTAAGAGTTCTCTCTAGAGAACTCAGGTAGGAAAAGTACCTTAGAATTGTCATGTTTGACCATCTTTTATGCTTTAGTTTCACTTTTTCCACTCCTGTTTTCAGGACAGCACTCGCTTGTCCAGAAATAGAAGAGAAATGAAACTTAACATCACTCTAATCACTAGTCTGGAGTACCCCAGTTGTAAAGTCCAGAAGAGGAAGTTTTAAAATCAGTCTTTTGTACAGGAGTTCTTTGAAGATGGTTTTGTTCTGTTGAATTGGCCTCTCAGGGTGTGCTAACTTGTAAAGAGGGGAGCAGTACAGAGCAGTACTTATTAGAAGGGAAAGGGAGGAATCAAAACATAAAACACCAGGACTGTTCTCATGGCAATAAACAGCATCATTTGTTGGGGTTTTTTTGTGTACATCTGTCAATCAGTGATTTTGACGATTTTGATTCCCTCATAGAAGGAATATTCTTGAAAACATTCCTCTGAAAGTTCCTTTGTGAACAAGTCTGGCTTGAGCGAAAGAAAGCAGTGAAATGTTTGTTTCTTTAAATGGAAAAATTGAAATCCCTCTTGGCACTCGTGTACCATTGTTGGCTTCAAGGTGGTACTAAAAGTTCTCTTGGAGCAGATTCAAGAACTGAAAAATATGCTGCCCAGGGTGGAGCTCAAAAATGCCACCTTTATGTACAAGCATTTGGGTTATAAACACACACTTAGCAGGAAATATCACAGAACATTCACTAGGGAAAGAAAATTGTGGGAGCTTTTTATTTCAGACTGGACACCATTCTTTTAAAGCATTTGAGTTTTGATTTTTTTTTTTTTTCATTCAGAAGGTGGCAGAATTAGAGAAGAAACACAAAGGGTCAAACATGTTGAAAATAGGCAAGAAATCCCTAACTTCATGGTACCTAAACTCCTGACATCCCTGGGTCTGCCAGAGCAGAGAATGTGTTTCCCAGTCACTGCTGCAGTGTGATAGAATCATTTTGACTTCTTCTGCCCCCTCGAGGCAGTTGTGGCTGCTGGGTTGTTATCCTGGCATGTGTTACCTGGACTTGCAGTCTCCTCCCATGGTGTGTATCTGGACAATACACTAAGATCTCAATAACCAGAGATAATCTGGTCATTTGGTATCACAACAAGCATTTAGCAGAGTTACTGATCCATGCTATTCTCAATGAGATGAAAGCTCACAAGCCCTTCTTAAATCAGAATTAGAACCAATCTCATAGGAATTCATGGGCAAGCCTAATCATACCTCATGAACTAAACCAAGGTATACACAAGCTGTATCACAACATAGTTCCTTCCAGTGCTGGATCTGGGTTTATTTTATTAAGAGAGCTGGGGATTTTTTTATTCCTTGGTTCAATAACATCCTTCTCTGAAGTCTTTGCCACTTGCTTAAGAGCTGTAGATGACTTCTCAGGTATTCCTTCATGTTAATGACTAGGTTGCCTGTGTTAGATAAATACCATGACATTCTGGGTCCTTTGTTTTCTTTTCAAAAGCTGTTTTAATTGAGATGATTCCCTTCTGGCCCTTGCAAAAGAGATAATAGTCCCTCAGAGCAAATGGATGCTGTCTTTTATATCACATAGGGTCACCTCGTTGCTGCAGCTTGTCTATATTTCCAGTCCCTGTGGTGTTGGTATCTCTTTCCACTGTTTAGCTCAGTGGAATTTACTTTCATTTAATCATTCATTTGCAGCATGTCAGTGGAAAATTGGAGGTACCTGCCATTGAGTTGGAAAGAATTCACAGGGACAGTCAGCTCTTAGTATGTTTTTATTTGCTGAAAGGAGTCCCCAAGGGGCTCTCACAATAAATATTCCATTACTAATGATCTACTGTCTGATCTGAAAATCTAACTGGATTAGTAGCCTAGAAGGAAGGGGCACATAAATACTGTTTTCTTTAAACACTGGTGTTGTCAGTGTTGTAATTCAGGACTCAAAAAGCACGAATCCAGCATGCCCTGGATCAAGCATGCTCTGAGGTATGAGATTACCTTCTTGGGCCCTGCCTAAGTTCCTCTTTTGAGGACCATGCACTGACCAAAATGTCCCCTCCCTATTGTACAGGCTGACATTCACCTTTAAAAAAATTGACATTATAAATTTTTTGCTGAGACTGCTGTGATTCCTTCAGGGAAGTCTCTTTTAACTGGAAATGACTTTGTTACACCATATGGAAGCTGTTAAAATTAATAAATTAAAATTTAAAAAAAAAGAGATGCTCTCTGAAGAGTTCTGGGTTTTTCCAATGGTAACTGCCAAGTTCAAAAAAACTCAAGAGTCTTTGGTGTGTGGGGGCAGACTGTCTTGGGAGCTTTTCTCACAGGACCTCAAATTTGAAAAGCTGTTGCCCTACAATGGAAACAAGATCTCAGCAGCTGCAGAATTAGTGCTGTAATATAATTCTGCAACCTGATCCTTTAGCTGAGAACTGTGGTGTTTCATGGTGCCATTTGGTATGTGCCACACTGCTCAAATAATTGCCTTCTAAACAGAGCCAGGGCTTGTTTAAGTGTTTAATTTACACTGTCCATGTTTGCCTCAATTACACAGTCATTGCTTACTAGGTTAAATCAATACCCAGTTTTCAGATATATCCAGATTTCTAGGAATCCAATTTCGTCTATAATTGAGAGTTTGGGTAACTGGTTACTACCAGACCAGATTACTACCCAACACTGATTGTGGTATTTTCCTTGGGAAGTTTAAGATGTTGTTTGCCATCTCAAGCTTTACTTTCTCACTTGCCAGAATCTTCATGGCTGAAAACATTTTCTACTTCAAAAATATAAAACTTGGTATGCTCTTCAGT